TAGCTCATTTAGGGCTCCACGCGAAACCGCTGAACCCACTCACAATTGTACGCTTAAGTGTTGCAAGAACAATGACCTCTGAATATAAGCACTGAACCTGCAGTTGACTTCGTTTTCAAACTTGTGGAAACCTACGCACCCTCGCAAGTTCTTTATCGGCGAGAATTTGTGTTAGTGATCTCCCCCGGTTTATGACTGCACGCTATGCGTGACTCCTTCATCTTGCTTAAAGGGGTCTGTGGACGACTGAGGTATATTCAGATTAAATATAGTTTTTGATGTGCAAGTTCACCTGTATCTCATTCTGCCTCACAACAGTCAATCAGAGTTATTTATTTGTTTCAATGTGACAGGTATTGTTGATGTAATGGGGGCAGTTTTGCGTTTTGTCCCATCCACCGGAAGATAGTAGCTTAGCCTTGAATTATAGATGGGGATGCGCGCAGTTCAACCATTTTTCGAGGAGCGGCAGAAGTAGGGAGATAGCATCTGATGCACTGATTAGCTGAACGGCAACAGCAGGCAGAACCAATGGCGTGGGATTTTTCCTCGCCTAATGCTAGATGTGTCTTTTTAGACCTTGGTCCACTATTCCCATAATGCCAGCTCAGGGTAAAATTGTAAAAACTGGAGGCGTCACAACAGAACAGGTACAAAATGTTTTGGTGACGGAAACTAACGGAAACCAACTGCCTCCACCTTTTTTCCTTACATAGAAAACGTCTACTAAATTATAAATCATGTCCACGACAATTTATGCATGTTCCCACGCAATTAACGGAGTCGACAAGCAAGCAATGATTTGACTGTAAATTGTGTGGAATCCCAAGAGAAGCCAGCGTCTTTTATCACTAACAGTTTGCATATGGCTTCAACCCAACTTTTCACGTATGCAATAAGGCGTCTAGATAACCCTGCTGGCAACATGGTATTGCCCAAAAGACGAACCTAAACGTGGGGTAAACAGGCCTATGGACGAGTCGGAGGTCAATGCGGCACATATAACGTAACCATGTTTCCGTTTAGAACTCGCTTCCCGTTATTTGCTTTCAGAGGTCTAGGTCTCCAGTTGAAATCCCAGCCATGGGTCCCCACCATCCCCGTTCATATGCGGGGACCGCTCGTTGGGCTTTCAATGGTTGACAAAGCACTTCCGAATTCTCTGGAAACAAATAACGGTAGAAGGCATCTTCTACGACAGTTTCTACAGGGTATCTACGGTGATTAATGTACCCACGCTATCTGTGCCGCAGAAACTTGTAGTATTACTAATCAGTTAAGGTAAACATAAAAATGACCGACACCTCGGAATGGGCTTTGGCCCATGTTTGGTCCAACTATTTAAACGGGGCCGTGTGTAAACAGGGCGGTTTCTGTAAAATCATCTAAGGGTGCACGTCTACCTAATATCCGAAGCGGAGGTCGTATCATCAAACCATCTGAAATACTGGGTCTAAAAACCTGCATTGGAGAGCCCAAGAGAACGACAACCCAAGAGGCTTTTCGAGGTCGCTCTCACCTGAAAACTTTCCTACAGCAGAGATGGTCGAAGGCGCCATTTTAAAACTGCGGTTTTATTCAATGCAAGAATAGATAAAAGCTGACATATCCAGTCTCTGCAACGGCCAGGTCTCCCACTGGATCGACAACACCAGGGCCTGTACATCAATTTAAAAGTTAAATATAAAAGATGACGTAGTTGCAGGAAAGAATAACCCATTCTTCCTTAAGATATGAGAACACAGCTTGCATCCGCAGCAAACAGCTCTACTACGCGTGGCTCTGCCCCATTGCAGAGCTGATATTTTCAGGCCGTAAATCGTAGATAATCAAAGTGCTCGGTGTTTATCTTCACCAGTGCAGTTTTAAGGGTAACTCAGGTTGACACAGTTTTCCACTCAGCCTGTAGGAACTAACCAGGGCCTCGCCCCCGGAATTGGTATTATGGAGCATCACACTTTAGTTTAATCGATTTGTCAAAACCAACGTCGGGGCCACCACGATTAACATCATCAATCTGTACATCAGTCGGGAATAGGCGCGGTTCTCCAGAAAGTAAGGACAGCCGCCCCTCTAATAACTGTGGCTTTCTGCTGCTGTGGTTCGTCGAAAAGTCAAAATCTGGATTGTTCCTGCAAGACGCTAGGTACTTGCTAATTGTCGGGTTAACAGTTTGGGTGCTGGCGTTGCGCTAAAGGCATGTTCACAAATAATTGTTTCCTAAACACCAGCAGATGTCTGGGCAGTAGCAGCAGCCCTGCGGAGCCACCTCCAGACCTGCTCCACTGATTTCAGGTTGGTTCATACCCCGCCCCCACCCTATTACCATCGTTTGTTCTGTTGTCGCTTTTCCGTCTGAAGAGTGGCTCCTGCACGAGTTCGGAAACTAGAAAAACAAAACAAATGCCCCCAACTTTCGACCACACTTCCCCCCACTTAAGAAATTTAAAGCCTTAATGAGGGCAACATCCCTAACCTTCTTTTTTCCACGGGGTTTAGCTGCCTAAGCGACCCTGCAGTTTGTAAAGGCTCCAATAGCCAAGAATAGCTGTGACTGTGACCTGTCGGCCGTAGTGAACAGAGCAGATTTAACAACAAATAACCCAGGACCTGGCGGGAACTGTTTTCTGACAAACTAGCTTTCCGGGTTAACGACCAAAAGTTCAGGAAAGGAAAGTTTTCATGCAGTCAGCAGTAATCCTTATCCTTGTGGAAAATTAGCCACGGTCTTCGCACAATCGATTCTGTCACTTTGAATCCAGCAATCATCCTCTTGGCTGGTATCCGGTTCTTTCACTCCAGGGACAACTGCCATGACCTGACAGAGTAACCAGGTAGGTTAGTAGTTAATGTCTCGGTGTACTCAGGAATGTTGCAATTACTATTAATAGAAAGATGCCGTAGGTTTAGTGAACTGTCGGAGAATTCAATTCGGCTCGTTGAGACTACATGTGGTTCATCATGGTGCATGGCGGCATACCATCGGAGCTGCAACTATTGACTAAATGCCGTTGTTCGAACCGGAACCAGCACACGACGATGAGTAATTTTTTGAATTTGATGGCCCCCGATAACTGTCAAAGTACGTTAGACATCTTCATTTACTTAATAGCCTGGCATTCCAACTGGCGCAGATAGACCATTCCTCTGTTACTGTAGGTCTTCGTCCGTGTTTATTTGTCAAGTCTCATCGCAGGCGCGTAAATGATGCAACATCGGACAGGCGTGCAAGCAGCGGAAGTTGACAGGAGACGTCTTTTTATGCAAAAAATGACCCATCGGGTCTAACACATGAAGATAGCCGCTAACTCACAGGAGACCTTGGTGTTGGCTCGTAAGCAGTCTTGATTGTCATGGGTTAACTGTCGACGAGAGTTCGGACTAAATAGAGGAGAGGTAAAAGATGCCCACAACATCCTTCTAAGTTCATCAAAACCTTCGGATTTTGCACAGGCCCGCAGGCCAGTAGGAGTACGTCAAGCCATCCCGAAGAAAAGGTTCCAGTAATGATGCGGGAAATGGCCTATACTTTCAGGGGGTATCCACCGTGGGAAATGTTTTTCCGATGTTGCTTACAACCACATTTCCCGAATCCAAGCATGGGAGGACATTTTTAAGGGATGGCTGGAGAATCAACCTGTAGGAGGCGGGCAAATGCACATCGTTCCCCCTGCCCTGTCTGATGATGAAACGGTGTACTGGATCGAGGACGAAAACCTGCGAGATATCATCTCAGTCAGACCAGGGAATGGTTGCGATTAGGTCGAAGCAGCTGACCAAACACATGGGTGGGACACGGCAATGACAGACGTCAAGCTCTGCGGTCTACAGTTCTTGTGACTGGCAGTTCAACCGACTGAAGCCTTCCTGCAACGGAATGGGATCAACCGAGATACGAATAACTCGCATCATGGAGTAGGGGGAACCACTTACGACAGATGCTAGCACCGACCTCAAAGGTATGACTGTTCTCCCTTATGTCCAAGTTAACTATTAATCCACTGAAAATGAGCTTGGCGACCTTGTGTACGAGTTTTTACTAATCGTAGAGGGATGCTCACAGATAGAGTTACGGAACACACCCGTCACATTGTGACAGTGCTCCTTGTTTTCGTCGTTAATTTTATTCTGCGCCCCCTACCATTGTATATTCTCGATCGAAAACCTATAGGACAACGGACTCGTGGCCCAGTGGTTAGAGACGCGGACTTTTAACTAACAGGACGCGAGTTCGAGCCTCGGATGTTCGACACTTCGGGGCTGGGTATGACTGGCTGGCGACGGCTAATAAGCCAGAAATGGCCATTCCAGTCTCCCTTGCCCTTATCGATAGTGTTATTACGCCTAGTTATTATTAAGAAGGGCTACTGATTGGTAGATGCAGTGGACACTGTTCTGCATCATAATATACGGTCATGTTTGCGAAGTCAAGGGCTAAACACTGATATGGTTCATCAGAAACGAGCATGGATACGAGGATCGAGGAAGAGATAGTAGGAATCTGACACGACAGTCAACGTTTCCAACCACTTTCCACGTTTTTAGAAGGAAAAAGGCCGAAAGTATGTCCAATTTAATAGCCCAGATCGTCATTAATAATACGAATACCAACTGAAAGAAAAGATGGTCAAATAATCATTCTGGGGTACTAAAATATGAAAATGATGCAGGTGTGTGTGGAATAACCTGGAAGATTGTCGGGTAGGGGGGAAGGGGGGGGGGAGAGGACACAACGGCCAGCCCGATGACTAATTGTTTATGAAGAAACCATGAATAAGGCTGCACGTGGTCCGGCGAGATGCCAGCTGTTGGTTTTGACGCGGTGCGAATGGAACGAAGTTAAGTGGTCATTGTACACAGAGGTAATCGACAAAGGGGAGGAGCAACTGGAGCCTAATGAGAGCGACGCCCTCCCTCCATGCCCGCGAGAGAGGGAGAACGAGCGAAAGAACGTGAGGGTGTGAGAGGGCCAACGACTGACTGCCTGCAACGATGTTGCGTCACCGCAGAAGAGAAGTGAAGAAGGAATTCTAAAAATTAAAATGGGCGCGCCCGTGCGCGACAGTTGAAAAAGGCGTCGTAAGCAGACAAATGGCAGGAGTTGGCGGAATCACCACGAACGTCAAGAAGTGGTAGCGAAACGGGGAGAGCAAAAGGTACCGACTTGGTAGTAGCCAATACAACACGGGTGTAAAGTAGCATGCTCAGGAATAAAGCTGTTACCAGAGCATGCTGACCGCAATGGTAGAGGACACCTCGTGAGTTAGTCAGGCAGTCGATAGGGCAAGCTGCAGGGGTATATTAAGGCCTTGAACACCATGATGGGTGTAGCTAATGAACGGACGAATCCCTAATAATGTCAAAGGCTCTAGGGACTCGAGAAAAAAAAACAAGTAAAACGCAAGCATTCAATCAAGCATAACCAACTAAAAAGCTTGAGAAAAGCGAGGAAGGACGATTAAGAAAAGTAATTTCCCAAAATATGAAGTTTTTCGCCCCTCGACAAAGCCTTCCTGAAGTTGCGCTGAGTGCATTTCACCTGAACGCTATAAATCCCACAGGGAGACCACGCCCAATGCTAGCCAGAAACGAAGCACGAAATCACAATGTGCGCCTTTAAAACAAATGCCAAGTTCACTCCTACTTCGAGCTAAAGACCCACGGTTCCTGTCTGGAACTCAGATAAACCAAAGCACCCTCACAGTTGGCCCTTCATCGAAATGACTTAATAAACCCCAGTTTTGTTGTGTAGTTTGGGCTTATGTAGGAAACAAGGGCACGCTCATAAATCCTGCCCCCAGCACGGCGATATTCCCACTCCAGCTGGCAGAAGATACGTAGGAAGCGCCTTTTACAAGTCAGGCCTTCTGGTGGGAATTAAGGCAGCGGAAAGAGGCGACTTGTCTCAATGATGGGTCCAGAGGCAGTACATAAACGATCCAGAACAGTGAGAAAATTGCCCGGTTTCTCTCTACTGGTTGTCCCTAATTTTTGCATTTAAGTCAACGCTTTGTCAGTCATGTCGAAAGGCGCGTTTTAACACCATGGACGGTCGCCGCTACTGATGATGTCCATCGTGTGCCCCGCGGCAGGGTGGGCACCGGGACGGCGACCTGCGCACGCATTAGTTTGTAGCAAACCTGCACAGCATCTACCGCACTCTCTCCTCCCCTCCTACCCGGACCCGGTGTCACGACTGATCAAAAAAGACCGTTTAAGGGTGCGCAGGTGGTTGGCGCGCCCCTAGCCTTCCCCTGAGCGTGTCATTGCAGCCCACTTCCATGCATGCCACTTGTTATGGGTGCATAATCCAAATAACGGATGCCGAACCACGATCTGACCTCAATGTTGGTCCAGCGCAACTACCATGTGGCCCGTTATAGACAACAGGTCTTCCATGGATGAGGACAGGAGGCGTTAAGTCATGTCCCCAGGGGAGCCTGTGTAATTTTTTATATTGACGAGGGCATACTGTTGGCAAATACTGGTCAAAAATGAGACATATAACGGTAACCACGTAACACAAGACGGTGGGGATATTTAGGAATCTGTTTGGGAATGAAATCACTGACTCAAATCACTTAAGCCTATATTTGCAGCATCAGTGTTTAACGAACCGCCAATCAGCTCAATACAAGGTCTGTAGTAGAAGGCTCGCCAATCACAGACCAGTTGATACCTTACTCACAAAACCAGGAGTATGTACGTAGACGCAGTACCCTGTGTAGGTCAGAGTTTCACCACTTAAATCGATGTTGTTGCCGTTTGATCATCATGGCCGCAGCGTTCATTCGAATAGCGCACCGTTTGGACCCTCTGAATGCGGCAATAAGCCATCTAGAACGGAGGCAGTTTAATAAATCAGTTGCATGCAAATGACAACGGTGAGTTACCAAACTCGGGATCCGGTCTGTCGAGAGGTACAACTGCTTATCCCCTCGAAGGATAAGGAGTTAGAAAAGAAGCCCTAAACAAATGCTCGAAAATCACTCGGTCCCCGTGTCTCTGGGGCGTAAAAATAGGTAAATCACATCCCCATCCTCGTGTCTCCCGGCAATCTGCCATGCTGGCAATGTTCACTCTGACGGCCTGGGAAGTTCCTTCGCTTTTAGGCAATCCAGTGATCCACCGACCGGAAAGGGGTACAACTCTGGCCGGACGGGGACTGGGTGGCTATAAAGTGGGCATAACAGATCCTCCATGGACCCGTTTGTACTTGACTTGTACTTGATACGGCTGCGATCATGCCTGATCTAAACGGTCTCGATGATGTCACGAACCGTACCTCTCTACGCCTGACGATCAGCGACAGTAGATCTGGACAGTTAAACCCATTCTCTTTGCCAATGACGGAGACCGAGTACCGAAGGTCCAAGAACCACCTCCATATCTTCATGGACTGTATCGAGCCAGCTTTTGAGTTGGCCCCCTCATCGACGCCTCCCATGGGGTAACATTGCCGGGTCGAGGACAGTCACACTGAGCCCCTGAGGTGGACGAAGAAGAACATGCTCACACCACTTCAGTCCTCTTTCTTGGATGGCCTGGGTTATTCTTGCGATGTTGTCGCAGCGGGTGCGGACCCTGTCGTCTGAGATGAAGTCGGCGTACTTAACTTGAAGGATCGTCCTCAAGCAGTGGTGATCAAATATCTCCAGTTTTCGCTCGTCCTCCACTCGCACAGCCCAGCATTCACAACCATGGAGAAGGATAGACCGGACAGATGCACGGTACACGCGAATCTTGGTGGCGATGGAGAGGTCAAGTCAGATCCATAGGCATTTCCGAAGGCTTGAGAACAACCAGCGGACAGCATAGATTCAGGAGAGAATGTCGTCCTTACTCTGTCCATTAGGCAGCAGCCTCATCCCGAGGTATTTAAAACTGTCTCCTTCTTCAAGTTGACATCTGTCAATCCCGAGGTGTGTCTTCTCCTGGTCAGGGATGCAGCTTGAAAACACTTTGGTCTTCCCAGCGTTTACGGATAAGCCGACCGATTGACCGACCTCGTTCACCCGTGACACCATAGACTGCAGATCGCCAAAACTTGAAGCAAGTAAGGGGATATCATCGGCATAGTCGAGATCAGTCAGTCGGTGTCCGGGTGCAAACTGAACGCCGTCACCCTCTTGTAGGGCCCTCCCGAGGATCCAGTCAATAGCATAGTTGAACAGAATGGAAAATGGACCCGTTCCCTCAAGGAGGGCAGATGGGTGCCGGACACACCTAGCGCGGACGTCCAAATGCAGGGCAACAGGACGCTAGAGTCTCCTTCACCATTAAGAATGACACCATGATACGGCTACCTCTTCTCCTACAGGGCATCAACGGTCGTCTCATAACCATGTTATTGCCCCCTTCCCCCCCTTTCCCCTTCCACAACTGATCATCTCAGACGACATGAAGGACAAATCTAAGGAAGACCCACACAAGACCATGAGATGACAACCGGATTGTCCTCGAAAACTGAGGAGCATGTCACAGTTGTGTTCCATAGGCCCTCAACAGACTCTAACAAATGAAAAACAACGTAGGCCTTGACCGTCCGTTCTCGGTAAAAGGGACCATGTAAATTATTCAACTGATACACGGCCGCAAACCACTTCCGGCTAAAATTTACGAGTATGTAGACCCTCAACGTGGGAACAAACTAAATTGATTACTTCAGGTGTGGAAACAAAGACAAATCTCATTTCAACCATTTATAAAAAAACCTCAAGGTGAACACCGTTGTCCGTACCTCCAAATGAAACATGGACTTCATTCTCAAAGTTGTTGTAAACCCAGAAACAAACGTGGACCCAGCGATCTGACCTTCGCCGTCTATCCAAAACAGGAATTTCAACATATACGGACTAGACCTTAAAACACGTTCGGGCAAGTCACAGGGGTCCTCCATACAGTCAACTGCACTGTGCTTGGGACATTTACTGAGGGTGCGACAAAGGATGATCCGCATTACCGATAGTGACGCGGCGAAAAATGAAATGCTGCGAGGCTGCATACTCGTCCTCATCCCTTCCGGTTTCATATTTTCCGCCGTGTTGATGCACGCCCATCATGAATAGAGTTCAGGAATCGACATCACCCATTAAACTGATTGACAACTGCTTGAAATCCAAAGACCGTGTGCGACAGACGAGTCTCCAAGGCCAGTGTTCATGATCTCTTTCTGGCAGATGATTGCGCGCTCAATACCACAGTGAAAGAGAACATTCAGTTGAACATGGATCTTTTTGCGTCGGGTTGCAAAAAATTTGGACTGATCGTCAACACGGGAGAGACAGTGGTAATGTGTTAACCTGTGCCATACAACGGGCAGAGTACCCATGTCAATGGAACTCGACTTGCATCGGTGCACAACTTCGCGTACATGGGAAGTACAATTACAAGAAGAATCAAGATCAACAATTAAGAAGATCAAAAGAAGAAGCGATCGCTGGGACAAGGGCTTTATTCGCCTGACGTTCCGGATTCTCACTTGAACCCATCATCAGAGACAGGCAGAAAAGGGAGACTCGTGCACAAAAAGTTGCGGTATTTATAGGATGCAGTCGCTATGCTACCGCATACCTACAGCAATTGACCGCGCTCCCCTTCATCAAGGATTGTTGCCCGCTGGTGCGCTAATTGCTTGATGGCCGGCATGCAAGTTGTTAATTGCTGAAATCTCATCACCCGTGTTGGCTGCTGGCGCGATGATTGCTCGGTCATCTGGCTAACCAGCTTGCGCGCTCCCCGAGTGGTCAATTGCTTTGGCCAGCCTATGCCTCAGCACGGAATATGGAGTGGGGATGTGGTTGCACTTGTTGATAGACAGAGGTCCCGTGAGCCATGTCTCAAGTAACTCGCGGCTCACGCGACTATTCCCTCTCGCGAGAATTTCGGCCTCATCGAACTTGAATGTGTGGCCGGGTCTCGCCGAATGGGTCGCGACCTGAGAGTTAGCGTCATTTCTCCGTACCGCTGGCACGTGTTCGGCAATTCGCGTCCGGAGCAGTCTTCCAGTTTCTTCGACGTAGTTGCTTTGTCCGCAACTACACCAGATCCGGTAAACGACTACACATGTTTCTTGCCGTGGCAGTGGGTCTTTTGGTCTCATTACCTGACGCCTCATGGTGACCCCCGGTCTGTGTGCAACTCCAACCCCATGTGATGCAAGAAGGCGACTGACGGCCTCGGAGACGTTCTTGATCTACGAGATCGCTCGCCAGAATTTTGGGTCGGCACGATGCCATAGTGACGGTCAGTTCAGAGTTTGGGCAATCCGAACATAGAGGCTCACGTTCTGCTGCATGGCCCCTTCGGTCGTGACGTTTGGCACGTAATCGTCCGCAAATAAAAGGCCATGGGCACTGGTCTTTAGTGCTTGTATTTTTCACACCACGCCCCGGATTCGGAGTAGCTGGCAGTCCCTTCGATAATTGACTGACTCCAGGCCGTCCCTCACGGTACACGTCTATCAGCACGGCAGGTAACATGCGGCCGAAGTGCTTGGGTGAGATGGCACAACCCTGCTTTGTCCCCGCTTTCTGGGCAGACCTATTTTCAGCGACACGCGCTACTAGGTCGTCGTGCAGTCGCCTAACCACCTGCATAAACCGTTTAACACATCCAAATTTTAGCGTGATCTTTCCGATTCAGGGCTGGAGACCCTTGTAATACCAATAAAAGCGGCGCGACAGCTAGCCATTATTTCTTCACATCTTGTAGTTGACGGGTTGAATACCCTAATCTGGTTTAGCCCGCCGGTTAAGAACGGTTACCAGTCGTCGTTTTGAGCGTGACATCGTGAAGCTACACATGAGGGCTGACCGCAGGGGTGGACAAAGTAGAAGTATCCACCAGTTTCATCGATGCAGTTAGCGGAAACCCCAGGTGCCCTGTTGTATTTGCGCCCACGTACACTCTTTGGATGCACAAGACAGTTGAGTAGCACAATTGTCCGCAAGGCAACGTGCAACTTAGTGGGGGAGGCGATCGATCGTGCAATTGCATTAGAAATTGCAGACGCGAGATTAGACAAAAAGGAGTCAAATATAAACAAATCGCAAACACAAAGGACAAGTTACTGCACACCAGCTAACCAGACAACGGTAAAAAAAAGGCATGAGGAGGCCCACAGGCCAGTGTGTAACATGCGTGCTAAGCGACAACAGACAGCAATTACCCGGGTGTAGAATGCAGTCGCAATGCCCCCAATACCCTACTGACCTCGTAAAGGGGAATGACAGAAAGACAAATTCAATGAGGAGACGCGAGAAGGCTCCATAATCGAACACTACTGTCAAAATTAGGGCAAAAGTCAAGAAATGCGTTCGTCCAAACCAAATCAGCAGGTGCCACCCGAATAACTGTTTTTTGGTGCAGTTAAAGCATAGACCTTGAACTCTCCTTGCCTCTTGAACCCAACAAGAGAAGAGTAAAAAATAAACGAATGGCAGAGGAATCCCACAATCGATAGGCCAACAAGGAAATTTCGCCCGTCGAGAAGTAGTAATCTGAAGCTGAGGGTGAAAGAGGCACACATACACAAGAGCCGTCATGCAGTATGGGCAAAATTCGAAGACGGTGAGCAGGATCATCAGAAAATAGCTGAGTCTTTCACCACTCTCAGTAGTCCTTTTGCGCATTTAAGTTTCCAACCGGTCATCTCCGATAACGGTGCCACAGAACCTGTCCGCAGCCTGTTGCCTCGTGCGTCGGCGTACAGAATCTCCAGGGTATCCAAACAAATAACTACGTTATATTTGGCAACTATCGCTGACTGAGCAGTGTTTTTGCTCGATTAAGTAGGCTGGTAACGGGGCAAGGGGACGATTGCTCTTCTAACGTGGAAAAACTGCCCTATAGTTTTTTTGCGCCGACTGACTTGTGAAATGTAGCGTTAGTCTTTGCCTGTACGAAGATGTAAAGGAAACGGAGTTTGATGTCATTTTCTTTCTTCGAAGGTGACGACATCGAAAGATATCAGCATCTCATCCGCTGCAATTGTAAGTCCTTATAGGTTCCCTAGGACCTCCATGAAATTATCGATTGAAGTTTCGCAATCTTTCGTCAATATATGGAGTTTGGCGAATAGCCATTTAACCACTTGTAATTGGCTGCACCGAGTAATGATACGATAGGTCGCAGTGATACTCCAGGTTTCTGGACCTTAGGTGTTCCATATATCTTAACGATGATGGGACCAAATTGTCTTAGGGATTTGGCAATATCCCCAGCTATTTGCCTCTTCCCTGTGAGAAGCTCTAGTACTTTATCAATGGATAAAAATTTGCATTTTGGTGGGGTCTATAGTAAGAGCTTTATAGGCTGATTTATCTGCCAACATCGTTTTATTGCAGTCGAACCGCCTTTATCCAGCAGAGGAATCCAACAGTCGATATGCCAACATGCAAATTTCGCCTTGCGAGAAGTTATAACCTAAAGCTGAGGGTGAAAGAAATCTCCATACGTAAAGGTCGTCGGACAATACGGGCAGGATCGCGAGACGTTGAGCAGGATCAGTAGAAGACAGATATGTGATTTTCACCAAGGCATGGGTCACTCAATAATCCTGTTGTGCGGGCATTTAGGTTTGTAACCGGTCATATCACGGAACGGTGCCATAGAATCTGTCGATGACCTTTTTAGCTAGTCGATCCAAAACGTAGCGAAAGAGGCCATGCGTTCTGCAACGAAGACGGACCCAGTAAATTTCGTCCACAGTGAAGAAACCTTTGAGATCAATGGTTTTCACCGATAGTGCGGAGCAAATATTTATAGCCAAAAACCACAAGATTTATTCATGATATTGCTGTGGATACTGAAAACTAAGCCGGATTGTAGTAGTCAAGAGCCATCAGATGGAGTGATAGCTCCAACGTCGCCTTCGGAAAAGTTTTTCTGAAAAACCAGACTGGAGTTTATAGGCTTCTTCAAGTCTTCAACGCCAATTATCATGTCTTTAAGGATATTTTTGGAAAACAGAAATAGAAGAAGTTGCAAGAGTTGTGCTGGCACATCTATCTGCCTTCTTTAACCCCCTACCAAGTGGCTGACAGATTTAGTAGCCAATGATAAACCGGACCACAGTAGCTCAGTAAACTTGGGGGTCCATGGTCACAAATTCCAACAGATAAGCCGTCTAGTTCTCAAAATGGGCGTGCAACGGATTCGCCTGCCTTTTCGGTTTAAAAAAACTACATAATACCATACTTCAGTGTTGCCGGGGCAACTCAAAGGCGTCTCATGCCAACTGGTCCCGTGGCACTTAACAGTACCGACATTTCATTCAGAGAAAAAGTCTTAGCAACGGCCTTACTTGCTGCAAAAAGTCGATAGGTCGAAAGAAAATGAGCCAAGACCAGAACAAAACCAAAAGTTGGAGACTAAGTTAAAACCGTCGCGATTGAAGCGCATCATTTTAAATGCCGCCAAACGAGCGCTATGAGATAACAGGAAAACATCTAAACTGCCACAGTCGCTACGGCAAGCGTCTGATTCGACAGCTACCGAGTTCAACTGATATTTCACTCTGGCAACCGGAAGTTGGGCAACAGTTAGTCTGCAGGCCTTAGGGCTTTACCTAAGTTTCTTGTCCGCTATCAGATTACTCAGGGAGTTAGTGTCGATTATTGTTTGTGTGTGCAATAACCCTGGCCTTCGACGATAGTTATTAAGCTATTCCGTAATATATGAAAGCGCTCTTTTCTTTTCGCCGCCCACACATCAAACTTGCTTGTTTGGCCTAACTCAGAAGGCAAGAAAAAGGCTACAAGGCTCTCCCTTCTTCAAGCACTTACACTGGGCCCCTTGACTCCGACTTGAACTGCTGGGAGGCACGAAGGGGCCAACAGGAACTAACGAAATATCGTTAATAAAACGCAACGTACTTATGTTTGTCCTTCCTATTAACGGATCTGAAATTATACCGTTGGCGGGACTCAAAGTACATACATACCTAGCTATGAGTGTCAAAGTTGCTGTATTGAGGCGCCAACTCAAGTCTTCTTCTGAGAGATACGGAAATTTCTAACTTGAGTGGTGCTGTGTCTCTCAACGATGCTGGTCGCGCGTTAAACGACACCCAGAGATACAACGAAGTGCCAGAATTGGCGAAGGGGAGGGGGGCGGGTGGGAATAGGGGGATGACCACTAACCATTTTTTCTTGGACACTGGGCACTGGACCTGAGATGCTGCGCTCGAGGCCATCGGAGCGAGGTCTGACGGGGGAATGAAGACGACGGGAAGCAGAGACGGCGGACGGTTGCAGTGGCCGGTGACCACCACCACCACCACCGCCACCGTTAGTCACGGAGGATTTATTACGAGTCGCCACCTGCGCTGGCGTGGACAGCCGCAGACTGTTGATCTCGTCGGTGAGGTGAGCCATGTGTAGGGCCATTTCGGAGAGCTGCTGCGCGGTACGCATCTTGGTAGACTCCAGCTCCTCCTCCAAAGCGCGGGACTTTTGTTCAGCGGCCTCTGTGGCTAGCCGCTGGGACTCCAGCTGGTCACGGGTCGCGGTCAGGTGCTCGTACAAGTTCCGTACCTGGTAAGAGTAGATGACAGGCACAGCAAGCAGTTAACACTTGGCAAAAGGTCTGAAAGTAAGCCAGGAGGAAGGTGGGTACATCAAAGGCCAGGGAGTGTCACACAATCTGAACAGTTTACTAACGGAACGGTAGGAAAGGTCGACGCTATCCACTAAAACTCCCGTTCAACATATCCGGATGTTGTTAAGGGCGACTGAACGTTATCAACAGTAAACCATGAGGGTAAATATTACAGGCGTCGACTTGGTTTCGCTCCTGCCCAAGTATTGAATTCGAACGGCCCGGCTTTACTGTGTCACCTGCATTGGCTAGTGTCGTGCAAATCAAGATTTCTGAGGGGAGGATGGATCTTGCATCTGCAGCAGGGAGTGCCACTCCGAAGGATGTGGCCAGCGCTTAGAACGCAGATTAAGCAGGTCCAGCTGGCCGATGTTCCTATCATTAATGTAGGAAGCGGTGGCCACTAGGCGATGAACGCGATATCTACAACTAATTTTGGAAGCGGGTAAAATTTCTACGGCGAAATCAAATGCTTGACATTACTAACGTAATTGTGCCGATGACAAGATTGATTGCCGTGCCGGTGTTTTTGATAACGCAGGCGACTAGCACTATTATGAATGCTCAGACGACGGTAACTGTTATCGCGACGACGACAAATATTTTTGACGGCCGTGGAAAGATTGAGAAGTAGGCTGAAATAATGGCACAACGCTAGGTCGAGGTTTTATTTACAAAGGCTGGAGCACGGTCAGCCCCTTGCGCGCAATCCACCCATCAGCTGACTGACCAGCTCAGGCGGCGAATGAGTTCGACTCTGGGGGACACGGCGGTGAGCGATGGTCAACTTTGGTAAAAGAGCACTAATAAAGATAAAAAAAGTTTAAATTGAGTCCCTTATAGAACCCGAAAATCGGATATTGCATCCGTATAAGTCAGGTGGGGCCAAGAATAAGAAATGGCAGGTTGGGTTAGAGTGAGAGAGAGGGAGAGAGCCCGTAGGGCACAACGGGACGCGTGAGTTCCGTGAGAACCATCGGTGAGCCGCCCCGACCATGGTATATTCCCGATAGAAACCGACAGGAAAACGGGCCCGTGGCCCAGTGGTTAGAGGTGTTGGACTTCTAACTAAAAGGTCGCGAGTTCGAGCCCCAGGTGTTCCACAATTCGGGGTTGTGTATGACTGGCCGACGGAGGCTAATAAGTCAGAAATGGTCATTCCATTCTCCCTTGTCTTTGTCGGTAATAACATCCTGCCTATATCATGCGCCGCTGTGCGACTGCTGGTTGGACTCGAGAGCCCGTAAGGCACAACGGAACGAGTGAGATCCGTAAGTAAGATCGGTGAGCCGCCCCCTCCCCCGACCAGAAATGGCAGTGTTTTTAAGAAACGACGCATTGATTGAGATTTAAAAAGTGGGTTTTGCAAACGAGTGGTGTTTTTGCCGTAAAACGCATTAACAAACCTTTTGAATGGCTTTGGGAATTAGAGCGGAAACGAACATTTAGGGCGTACTCCTCAACGTTGTCACGCCGTGCAAAAAAGATATCTGAGCAGCGACGGACACTGTTGACGGCAGGGTGTTCATTTACATTGTTAAGTATGTCTTTGGTGATGGCATCAACCACCAACGCAGAATGTACGACATAATCTTATATGATAGTGCTCCCGTTCACCAATATAGAGACCTATGGATCGAATAGAGCTTGTGACTGTAATCTAACTTTTTAGACAACAGGCAGGCTCGCCGCCTACAGTATCCAAGCGATTTTCATTCCCGCGATCCCATCGAAAATACTTTTGTGCTCATCAAACTGGCACAGGGGAAAGAGGAATATTTCCGTGCAAATATGTATTGATTAATAATCACGTTAACTAAACAACGATACACAACTTCATTGTTCCCTGTCTGACAAAGACAATAGTGCATTACACGCGAAAGAAAACTGAACCAAGTGCTGATTTTTTTCTATTTGTTACTATTTTCCTTTTTTCTCATTCTGATGCAGCTCCCCTCTTTATGCCTTAACTGAGGGACTTGTAAAACCGTCGTTTTCTGAAATCCCGGCTTCTGTAGAAAAAAAAATTATTTCTAATTGAGTAAGTAGTGGTTTCCAAACCAAACTATGTCTTCTCTGGAAAAATGGTCGTTCCCCTAGAATTACAAATCTTTGGGGAACGCGCGGCAAGTGGTTTTTGCGCGAAATTCACCACCATTCACGAGTTGTCACCAAGCGTGGGTCTCTGGTGTTAACATGGGAGGCCTAGATTAGCAGGTGTGAGGACAAGGACAGGAACAGGGGAGAAGGCTCTTCCGGCACCAAAGTTCGCTGCCAGTTCAGTGTAGGATGGTTGTGTTAGCGAGAAACCGATACAGACTGCGTAAGACGTAAACATACACTGGCGCAAACGGACGCGGACAGCCACTGACTGTGAGCGACGGTGTTTCGATCTAGAGCCGAAAGGCTTCGCTTTAACGGTGTAAAGTGCAGCTGACAAGTGTGATTAGAGAGCGCTGAGGTGGATGGCCAAAGGCGAACGGCATACGCCCGTTCAAGCTGAGAGTAAACAGGAAAGAATCTGTGGTACAGAGGATACAGACGCAAGTAGGGCGAAATGAGCCCGGCAAAATAGGCAAAAAAGAACCTCTTCACAGGCGCAGGCAGCCCGACCAGCATAGACAGAAAGTTGGCGATTGCATTGGGCGAGCTGGGACTGTAGAACCTCGCAGAGGAGAGTGGTCACATTTTCTGCACCCTCGTCGAAATCGGGCGCATCTGCTGCAGCTGTCTGCGATGGGAGCTGGAATGTGTCAGTGTCGACAAGCTTAGGGACATCCTGCGCGGGAGGGTCTTGTGATTGTTGCTGCTGTTGGTGGTGGTGTCTGACATCGAGAACACGCGAAGAGGAGATCGAAGACGATGTGGTGGCGTTGGATGTCTAAAGCAGTAAGCAGACGGTCGCAAGTGATGACAAGTCTCATCATAAACACCATCATCAGGGTTGCGATCAACAGCTTGGCTTGATGCATATAACGCAAGAAAGAAGGCGATTGTGTGAAATAAGAAAGTTTACTCATGGTTCGTTGAATGCCGAAAATATGCACCAGTTTATGCGCAGATGAGAAAACGGTAGAGAAAAATGCTACCGACGCACTCTGCGCGTGAACGAGGAACCACTATAAATTGTCAAAAAATAGCAGCTGGACAAAAAAGCACAAGCTGCCGCTTCCTCACGCACAAATACTGCTCAAGAATTGCGGACTGTAAGCACTTAAGAGGATGACTTAGGAAGCTTCCCGGGGTAAAACGACTGCGATCGTAGTTGCATCGTGCGGAAGGTTTCTAAATGTTCAAGGTGTATGGGGAATCTTCTAAACGAGCATCGTCAAACACAGAGAACAGGGTGGCCTCAGGACAATAAACAAAATGTTTCGGTGGTCGAACCCTCTTCTACTTCTTCTTCACTTATGCATACACCTGGAACTTGAAATTTCGCCTTCATTCGTAGGCCTTTGTGTCGATACTGATGTTGGGTCATCTGGCCCAGCGAATAAGCCCACTTCCAGGCGAAAAACATCAAATAATCATCACGAGAAAGTGATCGGCTGAGTGTTGATTAAGGGGGATGGAGGGAAGAGATTAGCAGCCATTCTTACCAAGTCTGATGTCATTTCGTCGTAAAGTAGTCCCAACTGACCTGAACCACTATGTAGGAAGGAGGAATTAAGACAATGAACAAGACGCAGGAGCAGCACCAGTGACGTCAGAAGTGGCAGTATGTCTGACTATACAGAAATCTCTCCATCAACCCGTATGTAATTGCGTGATAGCTGCGAACGAAAAAGAAGACCTGCAGCCTCGTGGAATTTAGTCAGAAAAGAAAACTAAACGGTCAAGCAAGAGGGGCGACTCAGCTGGTGGGATTTGATTAGAGAACATGCAGTGCCATAGAAGCGAAATGGCGTACCTTTCGTGCGAGTTTGTCACGTCGGGCAGCCAGACTGCAACGCAAGGAGGCCTCCGCAACTTGTCGTTCCAGCTGGCCGATTTTGTGCAGAAGAAGACGTTCGCGTAGGGAGGACTCAGCACTGCTGCTGCTGCTGTTGTTGGCTGCGCTGTCAAGAGACGGTTGTGGCAAACTAACGCCACCATCGTTGTGGTTCGGCAGCGCAAAGGTGGGCAGGGAAACGGCGCGCATATACTGACTGCTGCTTGGTGGCTGCTTTACGGCTCGAAGGGTGGCCGTAGGGAAGGAGTCCGTGACAGCAGTAGTGGTTGGGACTCCGGACTGGGGGCAGAACTCCACATTCAGAGCTCCTGAGCTGGTAGATGGGGAGGGAATGGACACGGAGCCAGTACATAGGGAGTCTATATCACCCTCTTCGTCGCCATCTGTCCTGCCCTTTGCTGAATCGGATCCAGACTAATTTTATACAAAAAAACAGAGGGAAGGTTTCACTGGTAAGGAACAGGTGGCTGTAGGACTACAAAACAGTCGACTGTGCTTTTAAGCAACCCACATTTAGGGAAGGAGTACGTGCGGGTGGTAGGAGAGTCTGGACACCGGAATGGGGCTCCGGAGTCGTTTGTACCGCGACGGAGTGAAGCGCCTCAGCAGGACATTGTTCTCGCTTTTGCTCGCTCAGCTGACTTTCCAGAAGAGCAATCCGTTCGAGAAATTGAGCGGATTGGGAAACGAGCTTCAGAAAGACAAAAAAGGTTTAAGATGAACTACCAATGATGAGAAAGGAGGCCAGACGGGGAATATCGGGGTGCCGACTGCCCCTGTTTCAGAACGGTGGTGGGTGAGACATGAAGTGGCAGCAGGACAACCTATCAAAGTATCTTTAGGATAAAGTCACGTTTGAATTTGTTATAGCATTGGACTGTCGAAATGGAAGAGGAAAGGTCATCTTGAAATCATACAGCAAGACAGTTTTCTGTGGACAAGCCGACAGCCGAAAATTCTACCAACTTATCCGTTAAGTTAGTGGTAAGCCCTGTGCATTGAGTGTCTGTTCGCGACGTGAATGGCAGCTTTACTGATGACAACTCGGCCAAAGTTGACCGTTGGTGTGAGCACTTCGAGAAACATCTCAAGTCCGATGCCCAACCCACCACGCTCTTGCTCTCCTCTGCAGCGGAGTTTCTTCCCTCCCCGACCTATGCAGTGTCATGCGACCCGCCTACTGAAGGCTACGCAACAACAAGGCACCCCGAGGACAGTATATTCGCTGAAATCTACAAGTTTTGTGTCGACACTGGCGCCCTGGCTTCATGAGGTGACTGAACAAACGGGAACAGACGAGGTTGCTCCTGATGACTGGGCTCAGGTATCCTTGCTTGAGGACGATCTTTCAAGTGAAGTACACCGACTTCGTCTCAGATGAGACAGTCCGTACCTGCTGCGACAACATCGCAAGGATAATCCAGGTCATCCATGAAAGAGGACTGAGGTGGTCTGGGCATGCTCTTCGTCGTCCACCTCAGGGGCTCAGTGTGACTGTCCTCGACCCGGCACCGTCGCCCCATTGGAGGCGTCGATGAGGAAGCCAACTCAAAACCTGGCTCAACACAGTTTGTCAAGACATGGAGGTAGTCCTTGAACATTCGGTACTCGATCTCCTTCATTGGCGAAGAGAATGGGTTTAACTGTCCGGATTTGCTGCCGCGGATCGCCGGGCGTGCATAGGTACAGTCCGGGACATCATCGAGGTCAACTAGATCAGGCATGATCGCAGCCATATCAGGTACAAGTAAATTAAGTCCTCTTCAAGTCTTATAATCGAAGAAAGGGCGGTGTTCGAGTTTAGAAAAATTAAAATCATGAGATTCCCAAGACTGTAAAATGTCCACCGTATAGGTCTCTTTATTCATGCTCCTTATAAAGTATGAAACACGGTACACATCGCCAAATTTTATGCATCGTATATAGTATAGAGTAATGTACGAATCCTCTTAAAGGGAAAGCATACAGCATACAGTTTGGAAATCTGAGGTGCAAATGCAAGGAAGGTCGGGTTCAAAAGCATCCAGAAGATGAGGTACTTTTTTCAAGACTGAAAACCACCCTTTATTCGAGGTAAAAATCGAAAAAGACGTAAGTTGCAACTAAGGCAATACAAGAAAGGACATTTGTGTATGCTTTCTACAAAAGAATATTCAGATATATAGGGGCACCGAAAATCAATAGGAGAAATGAGTGCTACTTAAGCAGTTCCTTCTCTGTCAACTGCGGCTTTCGCAGACGGCTGGTAAGAAGTGAATGTAAAAGTCGGCATCTTAGCGTGACGGGATGTCTTGCGACCATGCGGCATGATAGTCAACGGCCAAACCACACCTAGGTAATCCTTTTTACTGAAATCACATTTCAGCGTTTTGGCTAGCATCTACTGAGACACACCACCTAGCGCACGTCGATTACATCCATTTGGTTTCGTCCAATAGGGAAATTGGCTACTAGGATGTAGCCGCATCCTTTTGCGGGGCGTTAATAAGCCACATGTGGGAACGGTGTGACAGAAGGAGTCAAAATGAAACTACGACCTAACGCAGCTGAACTTTTGGTGTGACCAAGACTCTCGGGACACCCCGTACACCCCACAGTAGCATAACTGTTCAGCAAGATTTGGAAGTAGTAGAGAATAAAACAAATGGAAGGGTACAGACGGCAAGAGAGCTTACTTCCTCGTGAAGTGTGCTGCATTCCTGTAAAGCATGAAACAACGCGTCGTCACCGGTGTCGGCATTGCTTCCTTGTTGAATATGGTGGACAGAGTCTGAGAACTTGTTTCTTCTAGTTGAGGACTCCAGTTGGGACTGAAGGAATGTGGCTTGTTTGGTAAGGTACTGAGTCCTAAAGAGTAGACTCTCCTTTTCCTGTTCCAAGTTTCGAACGTGGACATTCTGATCGATCAACTTGCCCTGATGGACAGAATTTAATAAACCTACCCGGACCTGATAGACCTACCTCAAGGAGTTTTATGTTCTGTAGACTCTCCCGAAGACTATCCTTTGTTAATTTGTGCTTTTCGCGTAGCTGCAAGAGTAGATTTCGGGTGGGAAGATAAAGTAGCCAACCTTTTTAAACTCGACACCTAATCGAGTATACTTGGAACGCAATTCTTCGTCCTCAAACATTTAGTTGGACTTCAGGGATACTTGTGAAAGATGAATGGCAAATCAGTCTATCGATCCGAGAGAGACACGTCAACCGTCCTGGCACACAGTTGTTTGAAAACCTTTAAGAACGTACAATACAAGTTCTTCAGTATAGTGAGCATTAAAAGTGGATCAAAAATACCAGTGCTATCCCTTTTGATAGAAGATAGATCGGTGTTACTATAGGGTGATTGCTGCCTCCATTCTGTGTTCCCACTTAAGGATACTTTTTAAATGGTCGTTACGCGAGTTTTAAATTGAAAGGGTGTACAGTGAAGAAGCGGAGTCATGATATCTCTCCGACATGGCCTCCTAGTAGAAGACAAATCGGCTAGATCGCAGCTGGTAGCCGGGAATGGGGAGGCGGACGGCGACCTCAACCCTAATCGTAAACTTAACCCTAACCCTAACCTCAAACTTAAACGTTAACCGTTAACCCTAACGGCAACCCTAACCCTAATCAAAATCGTAAACGTTATCGTAGCCCTTAGACATAGCCGTAACTGAAAAACCTAACCGTAATACTGAAACCTAATCGTACGCTCAAACCTTAACCGTAACCCAAAAACCGAAGCCTAAAGGCATAACGCTAACCCGAAAATCGGAAACCATTAACCGGTATCCTAATCCTAACCTGAAACGCAAAACGGAAGCCAAATGGGTCGGATGTGATTATGGAGCCCCACAAAATAGCCCCAGTAAACAACCCCCGCAGGCACCTGTAATACGGGTCCTGGCTACCAACTTCGACCTAGCCGAAAAATCTCGCCACAAGTGCGATGGGCCGCTGATGTACACTAACATGATGGTCCGTAGACAGAATGTGCCGGTACGGAGGTGCAGAAAGGGTTGCCAGTCTATTTGATCAGTAAGATAAGAGAACGAATTCGTCGACTATCGTTCCATTACTGCTTATCTCTGGGGCAGCAGAACGCCACTGGAAGCAGTGCCAAATCTTACTGTTAGATCCACAAACACTGTGGTTGACTGGTTTAATTACTGCCGGGAAGTCTGCTCCGAAATGATATCTGTCGCTAGGAGAAGAGAGTCAAATGGACTACCGGAAACGCAATACAGATCGACGAAGCCTAATTTGCAGGGCGCCGTAAGTATGATCGTGGCTGTCTTTTCGGTGGGAATGCACCTTACGAAGAAAACTATAGCGATTCAGTACAGAATTATCGGAATCACGGCTCCCGCACTTATGGACCATTGGTCTTTGGATTTTGTCAGGGCATCGACATTTGGCAAGATGTGGCGACATTGATCCTTATCATTAAACGCGAAGTAGAGGCAGGTTCAACTATACATTCTGACAAATTGCTAGCTTACCGGCGACATAATTAGACTGGACACAACTACCAAATACCAGAAAAATTACGTCGATCCGAATACAGGCGTGCACACCCATCAAATTGATAGACAATAAGACTGGCATTTTGAAGAAAATCGCGGAGTTCAACAGCACTTGCTTTAAGGGCACTTAGATGAACACTGCTGCGTATTTTGAAAGGAAAAAACGTCGTAGTAATCCTACGTGATACTAAAAAAGCTGCTGTTTACTTGATACTATTTAATTCGGATTTAATTTTCGCAATAAAGACGACATTTCAAATCGGATTCTGGTTTTTGTACAGTACATATTAGGGTGAGAATGAGGCTATAGCAGCACCTACGGATCTTACGGTAGCCTCGTAGTAAACCTTTTCCCCAAAATAGTGCATTAAATGTCTGCCTGGAACAAAGTCAGAGCGAATCCAGCCGGCGCCCTATGTTACCCCTAGGGTTAACATGACTACAAAGGAATACAGGAAAAAAACGAACCGGCAGCGAAAGGGGGATATGAACTGCCGGAAAGATACGGCATCACCGAAAAAGCAGGATTGCCTGTTTGTCTAACAGATGGTTACTTCAATCAACCGTTGGTGGCGGACAGTACTCAGGCCTTCAGCAATGACCACCCAAAGCCGATATTTACGTCTGGTGAGTTGGCGGCTGCGAAATGACATTCCTGGTGTTAAAATGACGAGGACAACTGAGGCCTGGCATACGACTACCCTGAAAAATGTCGAAACACCTGATGACGACACTGCGCAATGGGAATCCTGAAACGTCGGCAAACAACACCTGATTAACACTACTTTTTAAGCACAGCGTACAATCAAAGGCGGAGCTCGGACCAGGCAATTAAGTTTACTGTCAAACCCTGTTTCTCTAGACAACGTGGGCTCGCAACATGTTCCCTTAATCAGTAATTTCGAAAACAGTCGTGAACGCAAGCATGTAGAAGAATGAGGTGAAGCAATTTTATCTAGGTTGTTAAAATAAACAGTTAAAACGTGATAACAAAGTGCGCTGTAAACCAACTTAAACATGTAATACGTTAGCATAATTAGGAACATGGATGTGGCGATTATGAGCAAGACGTGTGGCAAAGACTACTCAAAGAGTAGCCTCAGTACCTGCACTTGACTGAACTAAGTTTGGTGGCACAAAGTACTTTAAGAGAATGATTTTTCCCTGGATCGGCCCTCATTGAGTTTTATCGTCTGTTTATCCTAATTTCGACTGATTTTGTGAATGTGCTGGGTTAAAGAAGCAAGCGAGCAGTATCTTCCCAGACCACGGGGTTAAAGACGAAAGCATTGAGGTTGTCGAAATACCAGAGTCCACTTTTTATAAGCAGGAGAGACTGATTGTAAAAAACATGATTTGTGTCCCCAAGAAAAGAGAAAATGTCTCCACCAAAAAAGATAATGCAGCCTAATCGAGAACAAACTCTGATAAAATGAGAAGCGGCACTTCAACTCGGTGCAGCGACACTTAAACTCGGTGGAGCAATTCGCTGACCGAATACTGAATGACACCGTCCATCCCCTTCATAATGAGTTAATGGCTGCAAAATCCTTACGCCCCATGCGTCGATGCTTCCGCCACATCCCTTGCCGCACTTCGGCCTATCGGAATTCCATACTGCCATTTCTAGCCCGGTATCTCACCTGCAAAGATGTTGAAAAACAAAAACTAAAACTCGATCTTGCACCTTAAAGTCCTTTTTCTTCATATATAATTATGTCCACCTGTCCAATACCTGTTAATCTCTATGGTAATCACTGTGTACTGGAGAACCGTTTTTGCTGAAAGTTTTGAAAGTTATTTTCAAAATAAAGCATTCCCCCCTCTCTCTCTATCTCAAGTCCCGGGGCGAACAAAGGCCCTGATACTGTACACTAAATGGTCTTAGTAGGTACTGAGTGCAGAATTCGACCATGAAGTCTCAAATATTGGAGGTTACAGATACCTCGCTGTTGTTGTGGTCAATTCCTTCTGTGTGCTAGAATGTAACCAAAGGGTATCAGAGAAAGCATGCTTCACGTGCACCTTGAAGTCTTGTTACATCAGACCTGAAAGGCAAACACAACTGTAGCGCGTGAGAAACTGACGTTCTATGTCACATCAGGCACTATACACAATACAGCATGCTATAAGATGAATTCCGGTTTTTCAAGGGCAAATGGTGGGAGAAGGAAGAAATAGTTATGCTCACTATACACAAGTATTCCTCAGTGTTATACATCTGTCCCGTTTTCGGCGTCTTAGTCGCCATGGGGTGAGCGGTTACTAACTGGCAGCATAGGCCGTGACGGCTCCTTAATATACTCATATAATAAAACCTATTGGTGTGATGGTCGCTGGTTTATTTTGGCTGGAGGACCATCACATACGACACGCACATATATAGAATTTGTGCCGCGACAGCCACAGATCCACGTACAAACCTAGTCCTCATCGTGTCTTGTCGATGAAACATGACAGGCGTAGAGAGAGCGAGTCCGATGTTACGCACAGTCTCCTTGTTAAACTGCATTTCAGAAGCATGTCAATATTGCCCGTGGGAATGGAGTTTGATCCTCGGTGAGACCGACAAAAAATATATTACGGCACGCAAACGCCCGGTCCTTTTGCTCAAGACGTGTCACGCGATTTGCGGGCATATTTTGGCATCGCCTGCCGACATCAGGCAACATTAAAGAAGCTCTGGTTGGAGGACGACCAAAGGCACAAAATACCAAACGTTGCGACGAGCTACGAGTGCCAGGAGGCTGCATGCCTGGCCCAACTTATTCGCCTGCCTAAAACCTAGTTGTAAGGAAGTAAGACCTGTTGACTGGAGTAAAAGTATACTTAGAAACGAGTGATTTATATAAAAGGATAAACTGCCCTAAGATGATTGTGGAAGGCGTCTTGGTTCCACACAAATCCATTCATTGCTTTAAAATAAAATCAGCGCTCAAATATGCATTTGAGGCGTCACCCACAGATCGACAAACAGCACACAACTTCGGTTTCTATTTCCCCAAGGAGGACTCATTGCGTTTAGTAACTTAATGTCCCACAGGGTCCGCAAAATGGTACGACAGGTTACTGTGATGAGGGTCATCTACGTTCACTTAGAGTGGTGAACAAACACACTCTTCACTAATAAGCTTTGTCCATGGTTTCAGACACCTTTACAAAGTGTCTCACATGGTGTCCACAGCCCAGTTTGGAGCATAGTGAACATACCCCAGTTTGCGGCTGCGTTACAACCTAAGTGGCCCTTACTGTTAGTTAACTCCCACTTTGTAGGGTTTATTATACAGTTTTCATGGCCACTTGAGAACCTACTAAGTACTTCGCTCATGCTAAAAAAGTAAAACACGTAAGATGGAAAAGGGTACGGCGTTCAGCGGCTGTAGTTTTCAAACCGTTAGTCCTTGTTGTCATCCTGCTAATTCGGAATTTAAAGGTGAGGTAAAAGATCACTTAAAGCCTCTTGTTGGTATGCAACTTAAGCACTTTGTTGGCCGGATTGCTTTACATTCTAGTGCTCCTCAGTGTTTAGTTGTTTCTTCATTCGCGGAAGACAAGGACAAGGGCAACATGTATGCACTGCACAGTGCCTGGAAATCTTGTATGCGCTGTGTTGCGTGCAGCCG